CACCGGCTACTGCCAGCACAGCAGTCGTTTGAAGAGTTTCCACAACCTCGACAACACACCGGTACGTCTTAGACACCTTGTCCCTCCTTTCCTCAAACGACTCGTGCACGGGATATGTCGGAACTCCCTAGGCACCACTATCCTAGTCCCACCTCTTACCACTACAAAGGGTGGGCGTGACGGACCCAGCCCCTACGATGACCCGCCATCAGCAACTTCCGACACTAAACAGAAAAACACCTTTTCCTTGTTACCACCTCACAAAATTTGTAGACATGAGGCGTCCCCGGACAACGTTATACAGACACTTGTGGGAGACGGTCGCTGACGTGTGTGGCGACTCTTGTGCCGGTCCCTCGGTAGTCCAGGTCTCGACTTAGACTGAGGAGTGAATCTATAACTTTTACGCGGCGGGTGGTGCGTGGAATCGTGTCTTGAGTACATCTTTGTGAGGTAGTGAATAGCCGTAGAAGTGTTTGTTCTGTAGTCGATCGTCTGACTCTACGGTTGTCCAAGGACTTATATATTCATAATAGTGACTCGCTGTGGTCTTGACCGCCGTACCCTTCGTTTGGTAAGGGTAGTGTGTTGCATCGACATCCTAGTTGTGCGGTTTAAGTTAGTCCCTCTGCACTAACATCCTTTATGTACCAAAATAATAGCCAGTGTAATATTTTTACTTTATATTACTATGTCAAAATCCTGTTCACTTCTTACCACACAACCTTGCTAATCCGGGTCCAAAACATCCTATAGTAAGCCCTTCCCTTTCTTGGCAAAGGCTACTTGGGGGCCAGATCTGTCGACACCACTACTACTCACCAATCCGGTGCCAACCTTCCCTCTTCCATTCCGAACCGGGTGACTCAACCTTCGTCCTCGCTTCCCCAACCTCCTCCCAACGCGCAACTGTGGACCTTCTGTCGGACTACCTTTTCCCCTTCTCTTATTATTCTCCCTAATTGTCCGCTATTAATCCGAACACTTACTCCCTTCACTAGTATCGTCCCGAAAGGGGCCTGTCATGCTCCGTTTGACTGAATCGTTCCTGTGGCGACGAGATGGCGTACAGAGAGGAGGTCGAAAACCTGACATCTTGGTGCCAGGATAAGAACCTCCATTTCAACGTCAGCAAAACCAAGGAGCTGACTGTGGATTACAGGAATCGGCCGAGAGAGGGACACGCCCCCATTGCCATCAATGGGACTACGGTGGAGAGAGTCAGCAGCTTCAGGTTCCTCGGTGTCCACATCACTGAGGACCTGACATGGACTCTTCACACCACCACCATCACCAAAAAACCTCGACAGCGGCTCTTCTTCCTCCGTAGGCTGAGGAGGTTCAACATGGACTCCAGGATACTCTGCAACTTCTACAGGTGCACCATAGAGAGGATCCTGACCTTCTACAGGTGCACCATAGAGAGGATCCTGACCTTCTACAGGTGCACCATAGAGAGTAATCCTGACCTTCTACAGGTGCACCATAGAGAGTATCCTGACTGGCTGCATCACGGCCTGGTACGGCAGCTGCACCGCCCTAAATCGTGAGGGTGGTGAAAACTGCACAGAACATCACCAGGACGGAGCTACCATCCATGGAGGACCTTTACTCCCAGCGGCTCAGGAAGAAATCCCTCCGGATTATAAAAGACCCCCATCACCCCAGCCACAAACTGTTCTGTCTGCTGCCGTCTGGCAGGCGCTACCGAAGCATCCGGACTAAAACCACCTGTCGTGACTCGTGGCCTATTCTTGTGGGATATATAAAAACTGTGCCACGTCAACAGCGATCCGCTTCTTGACTCACACGTTAAAAAACATCAAAATAAAGCTCTGTAGGCGCTGATTTCTTTGCCTTCCTTGGCCGATTTATTTACTTCCATATATTTAAACAAACAAAATAAACAAAATGATCAGTGTAACGTGAGGTCAAAGACTGTCCCGATTACCCGTTCATTGCTAGAGACAATTTCCTCCTCACGCTCAGTCCGACCCCTTCCTTATATCACAGGTGTGACTCACAGTAAATCAAAGTTTTTCTCCGAATACTTAATTCGGTACCAATACATAAATGGAAAGAATATATTAAGGTCTAAATTAATAAGAAAATAATACACTCATTGTCAACACAGAAAATGGCTCTAACAGGTAGGATAACGTTCTCTAAAAACATTCTTAACATTTTCGGTGCTAACTTTTTTAAGATGTATGAGCGCATTGAGACAATGAATAGGACGTATAAAAACAAATTTGCATGCCAATATTCACTCACATGCACTTATAATCACACTAAGGTATGTAGGCCCACAGTATTCATAATATCATATGTGTAAAATATCACACTTTTTTCTGACTATAAAGGTTGTGTCTCGTACGTAGGTTCTAACTGTTGGATAAGCTATCTGGCCATGTGTGGTTTGTGAGGGCTGCGTATAAACAGTGTCCGCTGTTTATGCATATTGGATAAAAAATCGTTATTACACCCTTTAGATTTGAGACCAACAGACATATAGAAGAACGGACCGACTGTCACTGCCCGTCCCTGAAACCCCTGTTAGTGTTTGTATGTGTTTGTTTCTACTGTGTGTCTCTCTCTCTCCCCCCTCTGCCTGCTGGTCTGCTATACAAAGCTGGGAGCAATCTCCAAGCACTATGAAAGCCTGCAGCCTGCACTCATACCCTGCCGGATTGTTGCCGTGAACGGTTTGTTGCGTTCCGCTCTAGCTATTTACCGGCATATTCTTTGACAACTTTGCCTGCTTTTACCTCACACTCATTTGTATGTCTCTCCCAGGAGGAATCCAATGCCTTCCACACTCCCAAGACCAGCCAGGCCTCTCTACCCACACTGGAACAACTGTTTCCCATAACCAACCTCCACTCCCAGCTCCCCTTTTCTAATAAACAAATGTTACTTTCACCAGCTGATCCCGAGACTGATTCTGGGTCCCCTCCAGTACATGTGACAGCGACAGTGACTTGTACTAGCTGCTGGTCGCATTACAAAAAAAAGAAAAGACTTCTGATAAATTGGAACGATAAAGCACGATATCCTACTCTAAAATAATAACATTCTGGCAACATAAAAAAATGTAACTTGCAGCTGAAAACGTTTTAAGAATAGTAGGGC